ATCTACACTTTCACTTTTAATACTTAACTACAACAAATATCACATACTTTAACACTTTTACTACTTAACTACAACAAATATCACATACTTTAACACTTTTACTACTTAACTACAACAAATATCACATACTTTAACACTTTTACTCAAGTTATACTCCTAAAGGATACTTTAACTTTTACCAAAGTCATGTTTTGATAAGATACTTGTACTTTTGTCAAGTATCACTTTGTGGTACTTTATACAACACTTTATACAATGAGGTGCCTTTCATCAACTTGATTTTTTCAATTCACTGCAGAAATGAAGAAGTCAAAGAATGCTAAAACCAAACTGATCATTACTACACTATAATTTATTATTATTATTATTATTATTACTGATTTTGCCTTTAAAAAGCAGTTTTTTGTTTGTTTGTTTGTTTTTGATGCCTACTTTGGCACACACCAGGAGAACAACCCATAAAAAGGCTAAAGACAGACGGACAGTTTGGACACTTACATTTCTCACAGAGTCTCCCGATAGCTGTGGATTAAAACAAAGAGCAGTCAGTTTGATGTCATCTGGAGGAAGGTTTTCACCAAACATTTAAACTGGAACAGTAAAATGAACCTCAGCTCACAAACTGGTGCTGCAGCTAACATGAAAGCCTCGCCGTTAGCTTTAGCTTAGCAGCTAACTCTGTAAACGAGAGGGTTTTTACAGCAGCAAACTTAACTAAAGACAAGGTCAAACATATCAAACATACCGACTCCGGCTTGTTTTCGACAAAAGATTAAATCTGGGTGATGCTTGGCCATTTTAACAAACGTACAGGAAGCAGTGCTGCTTTGGTTTAAAGTTACCTTTGACCCGGAAATGATCTCCTCTTCTTCTTCTGGGGTTTAATGGCGGTTGGTAAGAAACCAAAGGTGAGCATTACCGCCACCTACTGGTATAAAGTGTGGCTCGAGATGGTTTGAACCACTTACAGTTTGTTTATATCCTACTTCTACTCATATTACTGTTTTTCTTTTTACATTTCCAAAGTTATCTATTTGAGACAATGAATGAATGAATGAGTGAATGAATGAATGAATGAATGAATGAATGAATGAATGAATGAATGAATGAATGAATGAATGAATGAACCTTAAAGGGTGGTTTTGACTGTGTCCCTGCAGAATAACCCAGTAATTTAATGATAACTGACTCCTTCGTAATGTTAGTGGTATTTCATACGTCCCTACCTGTAGAGCTGAACTTGAACTTGTTTTATTTGCACCTGAAAGCCTCATATTGAATATCTGGTTTTCAGAGAGCTGTCAGAGGCTGATCCATACATTATCTGTTGATCTTAGAAGGTTTATGTAAATCAGTTTTAAAGGGATCCATGATTAGTTGTAACATTAGACTTTATATGATAAACATATACTTTAACTGTACAATAA